TGTGTGTGTGTGTGTGTGTGTGTGTGTGTGTGTGTGTGTGTGTGTGTATGTGTATGTGTGTGTGTGTATGTGTGTATATGTGTGTGTGTATATGTGTGTGTGTATATGTGTGTGTGTGTGTGTGTGTGTGTGTATGTGTGTGTGTGTGTTACATTATTTTAGTGTAATGTAAACAACAGCTTCAACATTTTTACAAATCGAAATAACATATTTACACACGGCTCCAGTTTCCCGGCCGCAGCCACTGTCGACCATCACCAAACGCTCCGCCAGTGAGAAGGTGATGTCGAGGGCCGGCTTCATCAACAATGTCCTGACCAAGATTGAGGAGGTGTGGTTGGGCAAAGGAGCTACACCACAGTCCTCCCCAGCCAAGAGGTGAGCATGCAGTACCAGAATTGCATCTAAGGGGGAATTGGTTTTTGTTTTTGTTTTTTTATTTTAGACTTGTTTCATTATTTTCTAATATTTCAATGTTGTTTCTGCCAGCCCCTGGGCAGCTGGTGTTCAGAGCCCCAAGACCTCCTCCATGGCCCTCTCTGAGCCCTTCCTGGGAACTCCCATCACCATGACAGCCAAACGAAAGTCAAGGTACTCTACTATGAGTTCCATGTGAGCCTGAGTGAAGCATACCATACATATACACTGACACAGGATAGTTTAATCAGTGTTTTTGAACATTACTACTACGTTTAATCACACTTAAGAATACCAGCTGTTTTGATCATTTACATCACAAAAACAATTATTCTAAAATAATGACTTTCTTCATTGTGAACCAGGCTGATGGACTTGGTGGTTCACCCCTCCTGTCAGACCCCTCGGCCTCCTCTCAGACCTCCTAACTTCTGGGTTTCTCCAAAGAGCATCAGCAAGGCCCCTGAACTCAGTCTGCTGCAAACACCGCAGGTTGTCAAGGTGAGTAAGAATTTGACACATGATCCTTTACCCTGTCAGGATAGTTCAAATAAGTCGAACGTTGTATTCCTGGAGCTTGTCGATATTGTCTTACACTTTTCATGTTTTTTTTTTCTCTCAGCGAGCTCGGGCCTTGGCTGCTTCTGGCCCTGTGTTCTCAGCCTTCACTCCCCAGTCCATCCTGCGCAGCAGCCTGAGGCCCACACCGGTCGCCACCCCGTCTGCTTCCCCAGGACGCTCCATCACCCCCCCACTCCGCAGCAAAGAGAGCCGGATCACCTTCATCGAAGAGGAAGAATCTCCTGAACCGGAGAAAGGCATCCGATGGACCAATGGGGTGAGACCAAACACTAGATAGGAGTGGTGTGTTGAAAACAAACACACAAAAACTCACTAGTTTGTGCTTACTGGTCAGTATCGGCACACTTCTCATCAATTATCCTCATCTTTGTTCAGCTGGTAGGTTTGATTTTGTTTCTATGATAAAATGTATTTTGTAATCCTCTTTGGAACTGTTTCCTCTCTAGATGGCAGCAGACAGTGAGATTAGCCTACTGACCAGAGGCCCCATGCTGTCCAAGGTGACACATAAGACCTGGTCCTCACAGCCTGCTGAGGAGGAAGATAATGGACATGAGTTAGGGGAACAGCCTTGTGTGACGTTCTTGCCTCCAGATGGTGGTATTCCCTCCCCACAGCTGAGATGCTTTGAGAGTGAATCATCCTCCATCCATGAAGCCTCTCCAGAAACTCAAGCACAACTTATCCTGAGCTTTGACTCCAGCCAGATATCTGTTCGTTCAACAGACACCACTCTAGAGTATTATGATGCACCTCTTCCTGATATGTCAGAGGACCAGGAAGTGAAACAGGGGCATACAGCTACAGAGAAGGAAGAAGAGGTAGTGACGGTGAACATCAAAGAGCTAGAGGAAAAGACCTCAACAACCACTGAAGAAACCCCTCTCCTGACATCCGAGGACATAGAGAGGGGAGAAGAGGAGGTGAAGGAAGATGAAACAATTGAGGGCATGGTGGAGATTGGTCTTGAAGATGAGACGAAAAACAAAGAAAATGTTCAGTCCAAAGAGCAGGACAAACAGGATGTTGAGTCAGTTAGTGAGCATGAAGATGCTGCACCTCTTCACCAGGTGGAGATTTCTATTCACAATCAAGGTAATTCATTTGCAGAATTTCCTCTGAGTTTTGTTTCAACTTTTTTATTGTCGGTGTGTCACATCACACCAGTACTGCCCAGCAACAAAATATAAAGACGTGCTATGCTCTGATATTTAATATTTTGTATGCTACTAGTTTGTAACCAGGTAACTGAGAGCACGGGCTCTGGCCCTGAGGTTGAATCTCCGGATCTACCAGTGGGACACGACGTCCAGACAGAAGCCACTGAATCCACAGAGTTCACCGAGTATCTGAAACCGTCTGCAGCCACTGAACCCACAAATGATCCAGAAGAGGAACTGGAGCAATCAACAGGTCTATTTTTAAATGATCGATTTATACTGTTAAAAAGACACAAGATATTACCACCTCATATTAGACAGGTGATTAATATAGACAACACGGTGTAACGCATGGCTTTTCTGAAGGTCGTTTGTTTTATTACATATTAAGCAACGCATTATACCAAGTTTACAATGACTAAGATGTTATGATTCTGTATTGTCCAACAGATCTGACAGAGTTTGTGCAGAGACATCTGTTTGGCAGCGATCTTCCACTTACCCGCTCAGGAATCCACAACACATCACAGACCCAGACGTCCTTCAACAGGTCTGTATCCTTTTCTCTTCACTATAACACTATTAAAAGCCATCAAAAACTCTATTTCTCAGATGTTTATAATTGAATAAGAAAAACAAAAGTCTTCCATTGTAACACTAAATATTTTGATCTCTACTGTTTTTTTTGTTTTCTTCAGTAACCCAGTTAAAGTCTGAAAATAACTAATATAAAATAACTGTCTGCTACTCAGAAATTGTATCTGCCACTTTTGAAATCTAAATGCGAGTATAACATTTAGATAAATGAGGCATCATTTAATGTAAAGAATGTTGTCATTCCGTGTTTGATATATTTGCACAAAAACATTACATGCATGATCTATTCCAGTGTTTAATTACACTGGGGCTTTCAGGGGAGCCCTCTTTTTTTTGGGGGTGGTACACACATGTATGCACATTGATGAATGCGCCCGCCTACGCGCAAAAATATCTTCATTTAGCCAGCAGAATAACGGAGCTCTTGCTCTGGTTCCTGGGCTCGAGCCATAGTTTGCTCAGGGTTTGTAGGTCATGAGTAAAATGAATAATTATTTTATTTGGTTTCACTTTAAAATATTATTTAGGTCATAGTCCATATTAATACAAACATTGTAGTTTATTTTGTCAACTGTGTACATATCACTATAGACGTGGACATTTGGTTTCCTTTACTTGCCCTTTCAACCGTTTATTATTTCGTTTTTCACAGATTAAAAGATATTCTCTTTTCTTCCAGTGAGTCACCAGGTGAGGTTGAAGTGGAGGTGCAGGCCGCTATTGAAGCTCCGCCGGTGTTTACCAGCCAAATTTCCACTGCCTCTGTGACATCCTCCGAGCCAACTGGCACAGACTCCCACTGTAAGGATGATTGTACTCGCATGCACATTAACACTGTTACAATACCGCTTTAATCATTTTCTCACACACCTGCACTTTTCTGCTCTCTTTTTTTTAATCTCCTAGCGGTTGTGAGTGTAAACGATAGTGAAGAGCTTTCTAGTCCTGTGTCTGAGGAGGAGGAGGAAGTAGATGAGTCTGATCAAGCTGAGGATGAGGAGGAGGAAGACTCTGGTAGTGAGGTGGAGATCATTGAGGAGGTTCAGGGTAATGGGAGGCTTCCACCCCTCCAACCCAGTTCAGTCTTTGAACAGCAGGGACACACTCACTTCCTGCCAAGTCTGTCAGAGCAGGAGGCTGCGGAGTTCTCTCTGATTACACCCGGTGCAGAGATGAAGGTAACAAATGTAGAGCTTAATCAATTAGTCAAAGTTGTGATAGACATTGTCATCATTTTCTGACGTTTTATAGACTAAATGATTAATCAGTCAATCAATCACAAAATAAATCAAGGAATAAATTATTCTGTGTGTTTGCTCCATTAAAGATGGTAGAGGAGGACATGGAGGGTGAGGTGGTGATGGTGAGACTCGGGGCACATGAAGAAGGGATGGAGGCAGATGAGGATGAAGAGCAAGGATCATCATACTTGGAGCTCAAACCCTCTACTACTCTACTGGTACCACTGGAGCTTGTGGAGGGGCAGGATGGCCTTGTCGATAGTTCTCAGCTGGGTCTCCCTGAGCTTCAGCAAACCATTGTGCCGGATGACCCGAGGTCTGAAACTCACAGCGGCTTTTCTCTGATGCTGGATATGGACGAGGACAGGGATGAAGAGGCCGACACACTGCCTATGGAGAATGATCTACAGTCCTCCAACCCTCCTACCCTGTCTCCAGCAGTGGAGGCTATTGACGAATTTGAGGCCAACACTGAGGTTATTGTTTTGGGAACAGATGATCAGGATCCTCCTCTGTCTGGAGAAGTGTCCGAAGAGGACCAGAGTAAAGAGATGGACACCTTAGATGGAATTGAGGTAGATGGAACGACAGAGTCAGAACTTGCAAAACTAGCTGACATTCAAACTGAAAACACTGGGGCAAACCATGAGGCAGGAGATGCTAAAGAACAGAGTGATGCAGACCTTGTAATGTTGGTTGAAGTCCATGAACCTGCAGGTCTCTCAGTCTCTGGGCCAACTCCAGTGGGAGAAGTCCCTGCAGTAATGTTGGCTGAAGATCATGAACTTGAAGGTCTGTCACTATCTGGACCAAGTCCAGTAGGAGATCTCCAAGCAGTGATGTTGGAGGACGATCATGAACCTGAAGGTCTGTCACTATCTGGACCAAGTCCAGTGGGAGAACTCCAATCAGTGATGTTGGCTGACGATCATGAACCTGAAGGTCTGTCACTGTCTGGACCAAGTCCAGTGGGAGAACTCCAAGCAGTGATGTTGGCTGACGATCATGAACCTGAACGTTTTTCGGTGTCTGGACCAACTACAGAGGGAGAAGTCCCAGCAGTAATGTTGGCTGGCGATCAGGAACCTGAAGGTCTTTCACCATCTAGACCAAATCTAGAGGGAGAACTCCCAGCAGCAATGTTGACTGGCGATCAGAAACCTGAAGTTCTTTCACCATCTGAACCAAATCCAGAGGAAGAAGTCCCAGCAGTAATGTTGGCTGACCATCATGAACCTGAAGGTCTTTCACCATCTGAACCAAATTCAGAGGAAGAACTCCCAGCAGTAATGTTGGCTGACCATCATGAACCTGAAGGTCTTTCACCATCTGAACCAAATTCAGAGGAAGAACTCCAAGCAGTAATGTTGGCTGGCGATCAGGAACCTGAAGGTCTGTCACCATCTGAACCAAATTCAGAGGAAGAACTCCCAGCAGTAATGTTGACTGGCGATCAGGAACCTGAAGGTCTTTCACCATCTGAACCAAATCCAGATCCAGAGGAAGAACTCCCAGCAGTAATGTTGGCTGGCGATCAGGAACATGAAGTTCTTTCAGTCTCTGGACCAACTCCAGTGGGAGAACTCCCTGCAGTTATGGATGACAAAGATGCTTCTGCAGAGAAAGATGCTGCCGAGGAGGAGAAGACAGGAGAGGAGGAGGACAAACCAACACCTGTTGTGGACGAGGAAGAACCTGAAGAGAATGGGAATGATAATATGGACGCAGATATAACCCCCAGCACAGAGACGGCAACTGTCGTGGAGGAGAAGCAGCAGGACCACAAAGCCTTAGCAGAGACAGAAGATAATAACGGGGAGGAAATTAAGATGGAGATTGAAACAAGAGGAAGAACCAGGGGAAGACAGAGTAACGATGTTAAAGAGGAGAAACCTGTGAAGCAGGTTAGTCAGACAGAGGTACAGCCCGTGCCAGAGACGCCCACGTCTCAGAGGAAAAAGAAAGCTCCTTTCACCCCAACACGAAGGATCACGAGAGGGAGGACAGTTTCCTTCATATCTCCCCTCCCAGAGGAAGCGGAGGAGTCAGACGAGGATGGCAAAGTGGAGGAGGTAGAAACAAGCACTCTGTTACCTGCCTCGCCTAGTCGTACACTCAGAAAACGTAAACCGAACATAGAGACTAAAGTCCAAGCTAGCCCACCTCGAAGAAGTACTCGCAAAGCTCAGATAGAGCCTCCTAATAACAAGGTTGAAGAGGGGTACGCCACGGATAATGACACCACAGTTGCATCAACCTCCAAGGCCTCTTCTCCTGCCAGACGGCGAGGTTCCCAGAGGGCCACTTCAACAAGGACCAGCCAAAGGACCCAGAGCGAAGATGATGAGGAAGAGGCTGAGGTCAAAGATACAAAAGTCTCTCGACGAACAAGCTCCAAGACTCCCACACCGGCCAAACGCAGGACCACTCAGGGAAACACTCCGAGGAGGTCCAGCAGAAGAACGTTGAGTAGCAGTGAGGTGGTGACACCGTTTGAGATCTTGGAAGATGAAGAGGACCAGGTGGAGGTCTTTGCTTCCCCTGTCAAACGCAACTCCAGGAAAAGTCGGACAGAACCCTCAGAACTATCCCTGCTAGAGGAGGAAGAGAGCAAAAAACCTTCCAGCCCCGGCAGGGCAACTCGACAGTCTAACCAGATTACCCTAAATGTCTATCCACAAGTAAGTAATCTATCTCTTTTATTTTTCTTCTGCCACCAGCAGCTTAATAGCTCACTCTGTCATTCAGTCGGTCCTGAAAGTTCCCCACACCTTTTGGCGGCTGAAATACGGCATATAGGTCAAGTGTGTCTTTGTGTTGTTGCCAGTAGACCTTTTCCAAGGAAGATATTTTGACATGTCAAAGTAGGAAAAGGACGGGTGTGTTCAATAACACTCATGATTGCTGCATTCCACTTATCAGAGACCCTGGTGTTGTACATGCTGGCTCACTGGAATAGCTTACTGGGACACTTTAACTAGGCCATCGTTGATGTTATCAATTTCACCTGTGCTTTTCCTACTAGGACATGTCAAAATGTGAAAAGGGTCCATTGACAAAAAGGGGGCTGTGTGAGACTGGCATATAACAAAAATGGAGCAAAGCTTCTAAACTGATTCACGTACAATGAACCGCCTTAGACTCTTGAGGGAGGCATCAACGCACTCGGTAGAGTTCCTTTTTCTTTGGTGAAGTTTTGCCCCCCCCGTACTTAAGCCTCCTCCACTTTCAAAACTCATGAATCATCTATCATAGACTCTTGTGGGAGGTGTGCATGTGCTCACATCGTCGGTTCTATAGCGGATAAGCAGATGAGAGAATGTTTTCTGTCGGTAAGGTACTGAGGTTGTAAAGCTTCATCTTATGTTGATACATATCAAGCCATTTTGTTTGGCGTTAAACTCTCAACTGACTTTTCTATCAAATACATATGAGAAATAATTAGTTTAAACTCATATCTTTATCAGTTTCACCTTTTTTGTCTGTTTTACATTATTCCATATTACATGTTGATAAACCCGATCCATCCATCGTTGATCATTAATGACATTTCACACTCCCAGGTGAAACTGGTTCCTCTATTACTTCCTCAGAGTGCAAGGAAGATAAGAGGAGAGACTGTAACTGACAATTTGAAAGGAAGTGGGGAACCAGAACTTAACAGCAACAACTCCCGTCGACCAACTAGAAGCAAACTCTGGGATCACCCAGAGGAACACCTTCCCTTACTGGATTCACCGTTGGAGATGGATTCTGAAACTCCTGTCGCAGACGCCCTCATCAAGAGACTTCAGGATGAGGACGAAAAAGAAGAAAGTATGTATGAGGCTGCATACAGACATCTGCATCTTAGTCCCTGTAAGATGTTTGTCATAGAATAAAGCAGCTTAAAAGTCTGGACATAAAAGTGTAAACAATTTTTTTTTTTTTTCTTTTTTTTTTTAATGCAAATTACAGGAGGAATAGTCGTCACAAAGATGGTAAGAACCAGCAAGAGGAGTACGAAGTCGTCAGTAGAGCAGGTTCACTCGCTACTTCCTTTGAAAGACAGCCTGGTCCCTGAACCCGAAGAGTCTAGTCCAGGCGAGCATTCATTCAGCTACTCCCCCTCACGAAGGAAAACAAGAGGTGAGCTTTTTATCCATTTACCTCTTTGTCCATTCATTCATCTGTCATGGTTTTAACCCTGTGTTGTCTTTGTGTCAGCTAAAAGAGCAGAGTCTCCTGGCCCGAGTGAAGAGTCTGCAGCACCTGTCACTCGCAGCAGGAGAAGAGTTGTCAAAGATCCCTCTGTTGCTCCTCATGTAAGTGCCTCTGCTTATGAGGCTGGATTTGTGTTTTAACCAGAACATAGTTCCTCAAGCATGTAATCCCATGAGCTCATTGTTAAGCAGAGAGTTTATTTTATTTTATTTTTTTTATTCTTCCTCAAAAACTAAAAGTTAAAAAATCCTTCCCCACTTCCTACCCCCCCCCCCCCCCCCCCCCCCCCCCCCCCTACTTCCGGCACCCTTGCTCGGGCCACACCCATCTCAAAGCTCGACATTCATTTTGATCTCAACTACACATCTGTAACGTTTTAATTACCAAATCTTGCGTGTTTGAAACGCTGTTGCGGTCACAAAATCTGTCCATAGACATGCACTACACTTTAGAGCGTTAATGAATGAGATGTCTTTTGAAAAAAATGTTTTTGTTTTATTTTGTAATCATTCTTTTCAGGAGGAAATTGCTTCAGAAGATCTTGTGGAAGTGGAGAAAGCAGCAGGTGTTTCTCAGACCAGAAAAGCAGTCAAAAGAACAGCAAAGTAAGATCCTGTCCTCAGATAAAGACCTTATGGACCCCAAAGACCGAGGATACAAAAAATAACTGCTTATTTTTGAGGACAATTTGCACTCTATTGTGCTCTGTTGGTTTGGCTAAAGAAAATCACTCCCTGCTCAGGTTTTTGTTTTTTCTTCACTTTCAGATCCAAAGCAGTTTTGGAGCCGCCTCCCATAGCGGTGATGGACCTGATCTCACCTCTGCCCAGCCCAGCCGATCCGATCCCGCGAGCACTGAAGAGGATTATAGAGGGAGGCGCCCCGACCTCGACCATTAATCTTCGACGCAAACGCATAATGGACACCGTTTTCACAAAACCTGTCACACGGAGGAAGAGACTTTAAGGAGGTTGGTGGTGGTTTTAACCAGTGAACCTCAGACAGCCACCGTACAATTAGAACCAACCTCGGTCAGGAGCTTTCAAATAATAGTGTATGCCTAAACTCATGATGGTTCTATTTCCTCAAATGCCTCACAGTGCTGTGGTTCTCTTTGTATATTTACTTTCCTGCAGGACAATAAACAAAAGCAATGTAGGCGTGAAAATCTATTTTTTAGGTCAAAACACACCCGTGGATAGCAGTGTGAGCGAGGCATATATTTTTGGAGTTTACACATCCCGCTCGTACTAACTGGATTTCACTTGATATATCTGTTGCCATTTAGTGTTGGACATTTTGCAACGCTCCTCGTAATCCACTTAATTCTCTGGACACAGAACGGCACAAGGGAAAGCAATCAACGTGGGCTTTTAGAAGCTTCTATTAATACAAACAATGACTGAACTTAACCTGCTTCTAATAAAGAGGTTTTATTCACATTCTCTTTTATTTTTGTTTTAGGTTGTTGTTTTTGTCATTGTTTACTTTTTAGATTTTGAGGCCTGCTGGTTTTCATTTAAGAAGAAAAGCAACCAACCGAGTGGAAATGACAAAATTTTTACCGATACATTTGTATATAATCTTTTGCTATGTTCCAAATAAAGTTAATAAATACATCCTTAAGAATTATGCTCTTTTTGAAATTTTAACTGTCTTGAATGTGTTTGATCATCTGTTTAGATTGCCTGTGCCATAGTCTTAAATTTCAGTCGATTTGTGTGATTTTCTGAGAGAGGCAGATGCAGACTTGTACACTAATCAGATTTGGACTGTTTCTGTATGTTATGGGGATGTTGTATAGTGTGAAAGAAAGAAAAAAAGACTTGCACAGCGGTTTGGCATTGTTAAAATTGTTTTGGGACATGTTAATAGGCTTGTTTTAATTAAATGTCAACCACCATCTGACACATAGGCTATTTTCTGATGAATGAATGTAGAATGTCTTATTTTTGATGACTGCTCTTTGATAAATATGGTAAAGCTTGAATACTTCTCGTGTTGAGTGGTTCAATTCAATTTACCGTCTTCATTGCTTGTGTTTGTTAGTTTGGTGGGGCGATGGATGGAGTGAATAGAGCACAAAGCCTTTTTCTTTCTGTCTGAGCTGTGCAGCGAACCACTGAAAGGAGACACAAGCGACTAATCATCCTTCACAATAGCTGAGACCTTATCCTGCTGGTGCCTCAGATAATAGATGTCCATCAAACTCCATTTTGGATGTCAAGTTATGGGTAATATCAGAAATGTAGCTGTCACTGAAATGTTGACATACTGTACATGTAGCTGTAAACGTGTGTAACCTCCCTGGATGAAATTGAGCCATCTCCCTTCTATAATTTATCGTGGTAGAGAAGGTGAAAGTGAAACCACCCTTATCTCCGCAACTCCACTTCACTTACAAAACACCAGGGTTGGGAGTAATAACAAATTAAGAATGTCTTGTCCCATATTAAATACTGATCTTTATTTTTTTTATTAAAAAACTAATTACTAGTCATGCTGCTAGTTAATATTTTATTGTAGCTTGTAGCCGTGTCTACTACGCCTCTGTTTTAGTTTAGACAAGTGTTCAGGATCACATCCACCTTTCAGCAAGTAAACTACATTTTCCATGTTTTCAGTAAAACTTCGAGGCATTTCCTGACAGGCTTAGATGGACACCACATGTCCCTGTCACACTGACCTGATTGTGTCCATGTCCACGTGTAATTTGACACAGTGGAGTCTCTCTGTGTGAGGGAGCTGATCACTCCGTGTGCCGGTCTACTGTGCTGATGCCTGCCTGCTGCACCATGAGGGCTAAAGCCTCAGACATGCACAGCAAGGACTGCGTCAAAGTGGCCGTCAGAGTCCGACCGTTCAACAAGGTCGGTGGGCAGTCGTTGAGTATATTTACAATTTCACTTTTAAAAGCTGTCATCGGTTAATTATTTTGCACAATTTCTCATGTTTATTTCCCTGATGTTTTCCTAATGTGTTTGTATTGCAATGCGAGTTTAACTAAGAGGCCTGTCAGATAGATGGATAGATACTTTATTAATCCCGTAAGTGGACATTTTTTCGCTACAGCAGCAGTTATGGTACAGGTAAATAAAAATCATAGAGTAAAGTCTGTGTGAAACAACTAAAAATACAAATGTCTGAGTTAGGATAAGATGGAGGATGTTATGGAGCTCAGATGAGAAACAATAGATCTAGTGACAGCAGATATTCAATTTAAACTACTTTTTTATTCCTACACTAAATTGTTATTATTACATAGTTGTTTATCCCTTAATTGTCTTTGTGCTTATAAAGAGGAATTAAACATCAGTTTTCCTTAAAATCCAAATTTAACCCCCCCAACCACCTTGTTCTCTCCATTTCTCACCCCCTCCATGTCTTTCCTCCATTCAGAGAGAGAGGGACGCAGGCAGCCGATGTATTGTCTCCATGGTGTCGAGCTCCATCACCATCCAGGACCCGCGTGAATCCCAGAGTCGTCGTGTTTTCTGTTTCGACTACGCCTACTGGTCCCACAGCAGCTTCGCACAAGACCGCGGCGGCCTCTACGTGCCTGAAGAACCCGGGGGACGATACGCCGACCAGGTCAGCTCCAAGGCATCCTGGTAGAACAGGCAAATAGTTGGTACATTCATTACAATCATGGACCCTGTGCAACAAGCAGACAATTTAAAATATGTAGACAGTATAAATGTAGATTGTCGAGACACAATAGACCTAGAATGAGATTGAGCAAAACAATACTGGCTTACAAGCTCATAAAATATCATCTATCCCCAGAATAATGTGTTCCAGGACCTGGGAGAGGGAATACTGGAGAATGCACTGCAGGTAACAATTATATATTCAACTGGACTTTCATGTATTTTTGCACCCAAGCAGATTTTGTTCTGTGCTAGTTGCCCAAATCTATTTTAGGGATCTGCTGTCTATCCAATTTAGATCTGTTATAATAGTAAAAGTCCTGAAATGATGTTTTCAGGGTTACAATGCGACACTGTTGGCCTATGGGCAGACGGGCTCAGGGAAGAGTTATTCCATGGTGGGCTATGGGCCTAACAAAGGCCTGGTTCCTAAACTCTGTGACCGACTGTTTCAGGCCATTAGAGAGAACCAGGATACCAGACAGTGTCAGGTAAAGAGTGTATGTGGCTGTTTCTCAGCACTCAGTGTCATGTATGGGAGGTGTTTTTGGTTGTGAAAATTCTGAATGTTTTTGTTCTTGATGTCTGCACAGGTATTTTTCAGTATGTTGGAGATCTATAATGAGCAGGTAAGTAAGATTTATTGATAAAGTGAAAGTTTTCACAGACATTAGTCACAAAGTGCTTAACTGGAGCAGAATTACAAACACAATGTGACCATATAAGGGCCAATCATTTACATTAAGAATGCACAAAAAACAGAAAGTATATTTAAATGCAGGCCTAGGACATGAGTTGTTACCCAAACGCCAGTCTAAACAGGTGTGTCTTGAGCTGATTTTTGAATGAGTTCACAGAAACAGCAGAACGTAGGGGTGCAGGCAGAGAATTCCACAACCTTGGTGCTACCGCCTCAAAGGCTCGGTCACCACGGGTCTTAAGGCGAGTGTGTGGGACAGACAGATAGTTTAGCATGTTTGACCTGAGAGCACGGGCGGGTGAATAAGGGTGAAGTAGTTCAGCCACATATGTAGGAGTCTGACCGTGTAGTGCTCTGTAAGTGAGAGTGAGAATTTTAAAGGGGATCCTAAATGCTACAGGGAGCCAGTGGAGAGATCGGAGTATGGGGCTGATGTGAGACCGTGGATTTGTCCTGTAACTTTAGGGAAAAGCAGCTACAGTCATCTTTCATTTTCTCTTCTGATTGGTTTTGCTTTTGTGTTTAACTCTTCTTTCTCTGGATATTACATTAATTAAAAAGTCACTCTCTTGATAGATTATGATCCCTCTCTTATCTCTGCATATTCATTTTTTTGTCTCTCTCCTCACTGTCCAGGTGGTTGACCTGCTGTCCCGGGCGTCTCGTACTCCAGGGGGACTCAGAGTCAGAGAGGAGCAGCAGAGAGGCTTCTATGTGGAGGGTCTTCGAACAGTCCCATGTGACAGTGCAGCACAGGTAGAGGGGTGGATGGAGAGTATATATATACAGAGAGAAAAACCTCTGGAGGGGAGCTGGATAGATAACTGTCCTCGCTTTTCATTCAACTCTATGAGCTGTGTCCTGCCTGTTCTGTAATCATAGAATTCTGATATAAGAGCTGTTAGGAAAATAATTAAGAGCTACAGGGGATACTTAGGCATATTTTATGTTTACTTCAGTGTGCTCCGTCAGTGTTTTGTATTTAGAAACATGTTAAAGTGTGAATGTTAAAATGTAGGTGGAGCAGTTGATGGAACAGGGGACCAGGACCCGAACCACTGCTGCCACTAACATGAACGCCAATAGTAGTCGCTCGCACATGCTCATTATCCTCCAGCTCAAACAGGTAAGTGGCTCCAATTTCAGCTCTACTACAACACACATTCTCCAAGATTTGGATTTGTTTGTCCCAGTATAACCGCAGTTAAAACTCACATTATTTTTTCAAACTAAGTTATGACACTTGTGTCTGTATCTTAAGATATGTCATACTCTCTTCAGGTTTCTTCGAGCATTTGTCAATGACATCTCTGTGACTTCCTGTCAGATGTTTTCTAAAGAGAGCATCACAAAGCAGTCCAACATCAACTTGGTGGACTTGGCTGGCAGTGAGCGTCAGCGGTCCTCGGGGTCGGAGGCTGACAGACTCAAAGAGGGCACGGCCATCAACCTGAGCCTCACCACCCTGGGCAATGTTATCAGGTTGGCCTGGTGTTTAGTTCACTTTAGTTTCCATTCAGTTTGATCGATCAGTATCTTTTACATCCTCTTCTCTCCTCCAGCTCCCTCGCTGATGTGGCGGTGGGGAAGAAGGTCGTCCACATACCTTACAGAGACTCGGTTCTCACCAAGCTGCTGCAGTCTGCCCTGGGAGGCAACAGTCGCACTGTTATGGTAACAGGAACTTTATAAAAAAATAGTGCTTTCATACGCTGATGTATTATGTGAAGTAATGTAGTTATTTCTATCATCAATCAATTTTCAAGATTGCCACGCTGAGCCCTGCTGATATCTGCTATGAAGAGTCTCTCTCAACCCTGCGCTATGCTGAGAGGTACAACAAACCATTTGGCCTTTCACTCTTTTCCTCTGTTCCACCCACACCCCACCCACCCACACACTCACTCCTTACCTCCCTCACCGCTTTAGGGCAAAGCGTATCCAGAATCGAGCAGTGGTGAACGAGAGCCCCACTGAGCGTCTGGTTAAAGAGCTAAAAGCCGAGAACGCCAGACTGCTGCAACGACTGAGCCGGCTGGGCCAGGAGGGACGCAGAGCTAACGACGAGACCAGTAAGTCTCACTTATAGAGTAGAGTAGAGTAGAACTCTGCGGTCCAAGGTAAACGTGTGTGTGTGTGTGTGTGTGTGTGTGTGTGTGTGTGTGTGTGTGTG